TATATATTTTTTATTTTTTATTTTTTTTACATACTCCTGATATTTTATGATCTACTCTTACTTTTTTAAAATATAGAAATGTATAAGTGTAGCATTTATATACATGCAGACTGCATACATTAGATACTGAATAAGTTATGGGTTACAATGATGACTTTGTCTTGTCTGCATGCTCTCCTTTCTGGACCACAAATGTTCTGGATTGGTTCAGTTCATGGTAATGATACACTATGATCCACAGATGAAGCTTTATAAAAGGTAAAATGGTCTATTATGGTGAACTGAGATGCAGAAAGGTAACCTGCCTTCTTAAATGCATTTCGTTAATATCGGGGTACTTTCATACTTTTTCCTAACACTACATAAAAAAGTTTTTTTTTTTGCGTTGACCAAGTATAAAATCATAAATAGACAACAGATACTTTTTTCCTCTTCAAAAATACTTGTCTTAGATTAGAAGGCAAAGTCGGCCAAACAGAGGGGGAAATAGACCCAGTGCACTTAACAGTCACTCAGAGGGGTGAACAAAAAAACAACAAAATGGATTAGGTATCGATTAAAGTGCCAAGTAAATGTAGGAAGTGATTTCATGTAGTAAGTTCACAAATGCAGAACACATATATAGAGATGTAAAATAAAATATCAAAGAGATAAAAGTGCACAGCTTATCAATCACCAATACTTGTGATGGTCAGACATGCAAAATAAAACAAATAAAAAAACGCTCACAGTTCAATAGCTATGAGTTTCTGTACAATGCAGCCTCTTGCAAATGAAATGGAGAAAAGCAGAGGGCAACTATTAAACACGTGGAAAGGTACACAAACGTCACAGTAACAAAAATAATGCTAGTTTCAGTAATATGTTTGGTCCTACATAAAAATTATGAAATACATTCTGGTTTCAGCAACGCTGTTCTTTTCAATGAGGCAGTCAAGTAAAAGAATATAACAGTAACTGATTACCTGACACATCTTTCCCGTCAATTATTGTACATTTTGAACACATGAAGCATGATCCTCATGAAAACAGTTTGTCAGAGACAAAGCACATGTAGGTCATGCTTTTTTATACAGGAAATTTACACGGTGCAATCAGATCCCTTACAAGAAGAATCCCTTATGGAGAATCGAAACGGTTTTCATGCATTAACTGCTTCTGTTTTTTTCCTTTTTGCTGACAACAGACAAAGCAATCCATGTAACAAGTAAATTTCAGCTGCACAGACTCAGAACCCACAGATGCTGTAAAAGCCGTACGTCTGTTTGAGCCTTTTCTTTAGTATTTTTGTGATTAGTATGTTTGATTATGCATAGATATTAATCCAAATCCGATTATCCCCTTGTACGTAGAGAAATTTTACATAACAAAATTTCTTAAAATATTTTATATATATATATATATATATATATATTCAG